GTGCTAAATTAAAAAATTCAAAATTAAATTTTAAAAAACCTGCTTAAAAATAACATTATTTTTAGATAAACGTATTTATAATTATCTAAACTCACCTATGCTAGATGTTACTGCCTGAAATTATTGCTTAAGATAGGTCATATAATATTAATTACAATTAAAAAACATAAAATATTATTATTTTAATCATTTCAAAAAATGTATTTATTGGAATAATTTAATCAGAAAAAGGAGTAATGTGTAGACTTTTCCAAACCCGCCACAACCCAAGTCTATACATTCTTTCAGATTTTTTAGAGGAAAATCGATCAAAATATCAAAAGATATAAATTATATGAAGAATTTATTTCATACCTAAAAATAATTAATTAACAAATTCTTTTTTTTCAAACAAGAACTTATACATATTAAGAAAACATCGAATAAACAAACGCCTTTCTATAAATATATTGCACGTATGGATTCGTTTTCATATTATGACAGATTGCTACTGTGGATTCTGTACTTGTGCTGCACGACAGCATCCTTCCAGATCGACGTGTAGCCGCAAACATCACATACATATCTAGGTGCATTTGGTTCGTGGAGCAAAAAATGCCGTTTCAGATGAAAAGTACGAGAGAAAGTCTTGTAACAGATATGGCATGTCTTGGTTTGTCGTGGTCTTCCTTTCCTCTTGAAATCTTGGGGAAGAAAGAACAAAAATAAGTCTTTGTACCGTCAGAAAATTTTGATATGATACATTGCTGTTATGTGGGAATTGTTTGGTTTTTTTAGGGGATCTTACGATGAAGTTAATGAGTGTATTTCTGCATACTGTTTACAGATGTAAAGAATGCTTGATAGAAGAAAAATAAAAGGCTCATTTCAATAAAACAGTATCTCCATTGGACACACTTTATTCACCAAATAATAAACACCAATACAACAACATGTAACAGGAATGGAGGTTACGCGATACAATAACCCACAACAATTTCAAACTTTTAAGTAGATCTTACGACTAGCGATCGGCAAGGACATGCATTATGAAAATGAGAAAGACTATACGAAGTATCGGAAGCTTTCTTTTATGGAATGATTCAGTCATTGTTCAGTTCCGTGGACCATTCGTGTGTGTTTTAAAACGTTATATTTCCATATCGACCTATAACCACACGTCGTACATGTATACATCGGAGGATTAGGTTGATGCAACTTCAAATGCCTTCTAAGAGTAGCCGTGCTGTAGAATGTCTTCAGGCAAATTTGGCACGTCCTCGTCGACTTTGGTCTGTACGCTTTCAAGAAAGAAAAATCAAATTAGTTTGGTGTATTCAGCAACAGCACCGATAAAGATGGAAAAAGTTATTGTGTTCCAATAATTGTCGTATAAGATTAGAAGAGAAAGCACAAATTTATGATTCTGGAAAGATTTAAATTAACAAAAAAAATTCTATTCAATAAAACGTTATTTTTTAAAAAAAATTATTTAATAAAAAATTTTGTTTTATTTCGATCCTAAATCGTTATTATTTTCTTTATAAGTAATCATCACAATATTATAAATATTTATAATTTTATTTCTTTAACATTCCTTACAAAAGAACTCATATCTGACGTATTTAGAATAAGAAACAATTAGTTTTATTTTACAAATGGTCGAGTTTCCCTCAAAAAAAATCAGAGTTTTATATTCAAGTCCATATATAATTGTGAACAAGACGACAGTGTCTTTTCAAATTTCCTTTCTGAGCGGATTCATATGGACATAAGGTACACTTGAATTTAGGCACATCGGGTTGATGAAGTTTCATGTGGAACCTCAAATTGGATTTATTGGAAAAGACGTTGCCGCATACCCAACATGTCAAATTAATATTATCTCGAATACCTGGAGAAAGGAAATAGTAATATTTATGAAGACTTACTTATCCCATAATATCTTTAACTATTGAATTATTTTTTATGTCAACCGAACACTTTCCCCATTCCCACCTCTACCCAGAAAGTGTCGGTTTCATACAGAATTTTTGGTTTTTTTTTTATGTAAATCCAGAACTTACTTGATCCAAAAAATATTCGAAAATCATTAATAAAGTCTTCGTTAGATCTTTATTTAATACATGTCGATTTTAACATTCCACTTAATGTACAGCTAATACAAGCTTTAAGGAAACAGCACATTTTCATCAAATTTCTCGCATCAATCAACTTTGTCTTTAGAACAGAGATAATACAATTCGACAGAGAAATTTTTCAAATATTATAATAAAAAACCTTTAATATATTTTTAATCATAATTATTAATTATAGTTACTCTTAAAAATATTCGACAATTACTGTAATTAATTGGAGTGTTAATTGGAGTCTTCTAAAGAAAAAAGAACCAGAAATAATAAATTCTGTGCGTTTAAAAATAATGATAATAACCAAAATTATTTAATTTTTAAAGGAATAACAATAATAAATCATAATACATTTGCTAAAATGACTGTAAATTAGATCCTGTATTAGTTTATATGAGATCCGTCGAAATTTCACGAGTTCAAACTTTAAAATCAAGGCGTAGGGCCATGAATGAGTCTTCTATGTCTCACTAGATTTCCTTTTTGGACGGATTCGTAGGAGCAGAGATCACATTTGTACTTGTAAACGTCTGGTTGATGAATCCTCATATGTAGTTTGAGGCTGGAGTTAGTAGAATATGTCTTATGGCACAGATGACAAGTTGGATTGGCATTCAGAGACCTGTAATCTTTGGATAGAAAAAAAATATTAATATTTGGACCTAATTTAAGTCATGTCCGAAGGTGTTTGTGTATTGCAGTAGCTTGTTAAATAAATAAATTACTTAATTAATAAATCATTTTCTATTTTATCAATATGTATTAGTTTGTTTTCATCTGTTCGAATTGTTTCCAAATAAATAGCAAAGATTTAGCTTTCAAAAGTTCGTAGCTATTTTATAGGAAACATTTAATGTTTTTTCTTCAATAAAATAGCTTCAATAGTGACATTCTATTTATAACTTGTTATAAGCAGGATGACACGAATATATATTTTATAACAAGTTATACATATAGTTTATATATTAAAAACATTTATATAAATGTATGCAAATATAAAAATTGGTTAAAAAGTACTTGAAAATTCACTGTAAAAAAATAAACGAGCCATTTGTATCACACAAAGATGCATTCTCAGGTTTTTTATATTTTAATATAAACCAGTTTAAAACACGGTCGCTAGCATTTAAAGCGTTTTGAATACCAAAAAAGAATATTTTTCAATAATTTTATTGTTCAAAATTATATACACGATATATTTGTTCAGGTGTTGACTCTGAAAGCTAAAAGGGCCTCGAAAACGTGGCACAAATAAGAAAAAAACGCCCCTTTTTACATATCACTGTTTATTCTTATTAAATAATAAATTAAATCTAGACTTAAAAATCTTAAAATAATAATAATAAGAAGAATAATGAATTTCTTTCAAATAATATGAATGATAAATTCAGATAATTATGAGCCTCTATTAAAAACAACTATTAAATTAATAAATACATTTAAGAATAAATGAACAGAACAAATTCAGGATGGAATGCTTTTATCTAGGAACTCCAATAGGTATATTAACGCAATCGTATGCGTTACATTTACTAAAAAATTTTATATTTTCCTTTTTTTTTTGTAGTTAATACTACATTCATACAGTATATTTCAAAAATTTCAGAAAATATTTTATATTTCTTCCTGAACACATTTCTTCGCTTTGCGAAATATATAAGAACTTTAAAAAGTTTCCTTTCGTTTAAAAGATATAACTTCGAGTTGGCATACATCTTAAATAATTTCATTTATCTTTTTATTTTATTTTTTTAAATGAATTTTTCCTGTGTTGTCTTATAAATTCCTTTGGTAGAGAGAGAAAGAGCTGGCTGTGGCAGCAACCTCGAAGATTATTTCTTGTACACTTTATGGACTAACTTCTTGTGTCTTACAACGGCATTTTTCCATACAGATATGTAATTGCAGAGATCGCAAGAGAATGTTGGTGCATTCGGTTGATGGACTCTAGTGTGGACTTTCAAGTTGGATATGGTGGAGAAGGTTTTGAAACAGGTGGGACACGTCCTGAGTGCGCTGGATCCTATACCTGAAACACGACGGATACCTATCAGCAAAAAAGCAAACACCAGTTACAATAGTAAAATAACCATCACAAACCGTTGGCCATACAATTTATAACGCATTCATCTTGTGAAAAATCATAGTTATTTTATATTATAAAAAATATATATATTATATAAATTACACTTTCATCCATCCCTCCACTACCCAGAAAGTGTAAACGATTTGAAATAGTGTAATATTTGTAACAAATTACAAAAATTATTTCCTTTATTTTAACACTTCCGTAACAAGTAACACTTTTATCATGTTTTTCTGTACACAATACATGAAAATATCGAAGCTCGCACATTGCACATGATGAAAAAATATATATTTTTCAATTCAAAAAAATACCATAAAAACCGTGAATACTTCTTAAATGTCGAATTAGATTGGATTTCTTGAAGGTACTATAACCGCATACGTCACATTTCTGCTTTGGTGCATTAGGAATATGTAGAATCATGTGCTGACGCATTGTCGAGGTTCTGGTAAATGTCTTGAAACACATAGGACAGGTTTTCGATCTGAAACCTTTCAGAAATTTTGAATAAGGAAATTGACTTAATTTCATCTTTCATAAAAGGACTCTCAAAGTTAAAAAAAATCGTTATTTTTTTAAAATTTTGTGCAGTGTTTTCTACGTAAACAAATTAAATGTTCAAAGAAATATTTTAAAAGTAAATTTTAAAAAATAATTTAAAATAAAATAATAAAATTAATATTAAAAATGTACGTCAAATAATAATAAAGTATATTGAATAAATTATATCAATGCATTATAAGTTATAACATTTTTTTATTAATTTACATTGTATTTTATTAAAACTATTAACATTATATTAAATTATCTTTTTGCAAATCGAAAATAAAGTTATTATTATTATTATCATTTAAAAATAAACAATTTTTCGTTTAAAACTCTTAATAACGTCTTCCTTTTCACGTATATATTAATGCATTTAAAAGAAGTTACAAATGTTGTCATTGGTGATCCTTGGGATGATGACGATTTCTTCTGTGACGTAGAACGGCATTCTTCCAAACTGATTGGTAGCCACATATTCCACAACGATATTTAGTAGCATTTGGTTGGTGCAATTTCATGTGACGAGTCAAATTTCCAACGCAGCTAAATATTCTGCGGCAGAGAATGCAAGTTGGTGCAGCTGAAAGAAAAAGCATCCGATTCACATCGAATATCTTAAAATAATTAACGAATTTTATTAATTATATTTTTAAATAATAAAATATCAAAATATGCTTTTGTAAAATGTTATCACGGTACTTACCTGTCGAAGATGTCTATAAGCATTTTGTATATGATTTATGTTAATTTATTCGTAAGCGCCATTTTCTATGAAAGTTCGCATATTTTTAACGTTTATTCCAACAATATTAGTTAGATAAGATTAATCACATTTTAAATAAACACGTTTAAGCTTCGTAGCATTTTATTTTAAACTCTTACGTTCGATTTTTCCCTACTTCTTTTAGCGATTTTTCCAAATTCGAGGTGTTTTTAAAGCGCGTAAACCATTATAAAATGTTTTTAGTTAATGTTAAATCTTTAAAATGTGTTTATTTTGTTATTTTAATGCAAAAAAACGAATTTTCATTACATGAAACACAAAGAAGTTAGCAAAATCTCACTCACTCACTCAAATCGTTTACCAAAGAACAAAGTGCTTCTGTTTATTCATTATTCTTCCATCCCAAGTGATTATTATTTCGCATTTATTGTGAACAATTTATCCAGCTTGGCTGTCGATACAAACGTGCTTAATCATAAAATAATAATAATGAAATTGCTACAGCATTCTATCACAGTGCTTCAATTCAGTTCATTTTGTAATCTACACCAACGTTCATTTTTTTTTGTTTTTGATATCCGGAAATATTTAATATAAATAAAAATACAATAAATTCTATTTTATAAAATATTAAAAATTGTGATGATTAAAAAAGTATTATTTTTTAAGGTAGTAAAATTTAAATGAAAGAGAAATCAGTCTTCGAACCAATGGACACATTCCTCAGGATTTATCCAAACGGGGTGTCGGAGGCATGCCATGGATTCTTCTCCTGTGTTGCTCGATGACGTGCTTCCAGATGCTTTCTGTACCACAAATATCGCATCTGTACCTCGGTGCATCGGGTCGGTGCAATAAATAATGACGTCTTAGATCGGCCGCTCTGGTAAAGGTTCTGGAACACAGTTGACAAGTTCTGGTCAATTTCTCTCTGTTCCTCCTAATCCTATAAATATCTTGGAGAAAAATCAAATATTTATTTTTGTTTCATTTCTATTCTTACATTCGCAGATTTCCACACAATATAACAGGATATATTAATTCTAAAGATATATTTTAAATTTCATACACTCGAATTATTTATTGCTTTTGTTTTTTATTTAAAAAAAAGGACTAAAATGCAATAATATGTTATGCATATAACATGCCACATCCTGATAAATATTTTCTTCTGTTCTATAATTAATGTAAATTGTTAAAACAATCAGCAACAATAAATTTTCTTAAATATTTTTATAATTAATAACAATTTTCATTTTTATTTTTATTCTTATTCGTTTGATTTATCAAACCAAAACAATGCAACACATACAAAGAGTTGGTTTTTTTTTATAGATAATAACCTATAATTACAGATATTATTCTACATTAAATACATAATTTCAATATAACAATCACTTCTGATAAGAGGCGAGGTCTTGTTGATTTTTTTTTATTTATTTAGGAAGTCAATGATTTTGACAACTTGAAAATTCAACTTTTCCAGTTGCAACTCGAAGATAAACAGGAATATAATCTAATCAATTATATCTAATAGTTCTATTATAACTCTAAAATTCGATGATAGATGAATGAAAACAACAGTAAATTATTTTACAAGATGGATAAAATGTGAGATGATTAAAAAAACAAGTTCGCGTTAATTACATTGAATAGAATTTTGTGAGCCATCTTCCTCCACATTTTGGATTTTTGGATATTCGTCTGATTTCGAGCACAGTTTTAGGCAATGGCGACGAGTTGTCAACTGAAAAAAAGGCGAAGTCAATCCGCTTCCAACTGTCGCACTTTGTGTACGGCCCTTTGATGTCTCATGACGTCGCCTTTCCACAGAGACACGTAACCACAGAGATCACAAGAGAAACGGGGTGCGTTTGGCTGATGGATGCGGGAATGTGCCCTTAAATAGAAACGTGAAGAGAAGGTCTTCAGACAGACATGGCAAGTCTTCGCGTCTCTGGTCCTGAAGCCTGTCGGAGAAAAGACCAATAATTAGAGCAACAATTTTTTTTTCCAACGAAGATCCCATTAGTAATTGCTCGAGAGAGAAAGAGAGAGTGTGTGGTGTTTGTATTCTGATCATCTCTACTGACTTATCACATGCAACAACAATCTCACATCGTTAGAAAAACGGATATCAATGAACGTGGTACACTTTTCCCAAACCCACCTCTACCCAGAAAGTGCACTTTTTTCTGCTGTTTCTGTGATATATTTTAGTGCTTTATAACTTACAAATAAAATTGAAACACNCAACGAAGATCCCATTAGTAATTGCTCGAGAGAGAAAGAGAGAGTGTGTAGTGTTTGTATTCTGATCATCTCTACTGACTTATCACATGCAACAACAATCTCACATCGTTAGAAAAACGGATATCAATGAACGTGGTACACTTTTCCCAAACCCACCTCCATCTAGTGTACATCTAGACGGCTAAATCGATTGCAAATATTACATTCGTTCCACTTAATGGTTACACAATTAAATATATATATATATATTTATTAAACATGGTTTATAATAATCTGAAGATTTCTATATTGTGAACATTTATTCTGAATACAGTGCCTGGAGAAATACAGTACCGAACTGGGTCCCATTCCATGGGACCCAGTTGAGTACAGTACACCCCCAGGCACAGTAATAATATTAAAAAAAAAAAAGAAAAAAGATTGAAAAAAAACTAACTCAAAAAATCATTATAATTTAGATTAATTTTAATTTATCATCAAATAAGCAAATTAAGCNAATAATAATAATAATGAGTGAGAAGAAAAAAAAATTTCGCATTTAAACTGATAAAATAATTATAAATAATCGAATTAATTGAAGTATAACTTATATTTCTGCTGGAATTACTCACGATCTGAAAATTAAACTTATTAATGATTTTATAAGTTTAAATCATTATTTATATTTTGACTTACAGAACTAACTTGAACTTAATTTAACAGAATTCCCACCTAAATCGAGATCACATTTAAAAGAATAGTTGTTTAAATGATTCTTTTAAGTTTTTGTTTCACAGTGTGAACCATTCTTCGATGTCGCAAAACGTCTCCTTTACGTATGGACTCGTAATCACAGATATCACAGCAAAAGGTCGGAGCATCCGGTTGATGGATTTTTGAATGGTTCTTTAAATTCGATCGCGTAGAGAATGTCTTGAAACATATATTACAGGTGCGAGACGTTTCGTTATACTTAAATGACGAATTACCTGAAAGGACAAAAGAATTGTTAATCATCCTTCATTCTCTTTCCCAATTAATTAAAAAAAATCACAACGTTAAAACCCGAACCGGATAGAGACATTTTGGTTCCCTTTACATAAATACCCGCTCATCTTACCTGAGTTATTATAGATGAAACAGATCGCTTGTTGTCCCTAAACTCCACATTAAAGACACATAGACAATAATATGTAACCTAATTAGATTCGAATGTAATAAATTCAGGCTAATTTCAATAATATAACTTACTTTTTATTAGATTAAAAATACTTTAAACACGAAACGTACAAAAAAAAAAAAAAAAAACACATCCGGCAAACAACTCTGATTCGACATATAACTCTAACTATATATATTTATATATATATATATTTATTTATTTATTTATATATTTGTGCGATTCTTAGCCTCAACGAAAAGTCTGTAGTTCCGAATAAAATTTTAATAGAAACGTAGTGAACTAATTGTTCACTTAAATATCATTAACATGTGTTTTGTGGTTTACCAATCTACTGCATGTTAGGGCAACGCATCCTAGAAACGTGAAGTTTGTGTACTACCCGTTTGTGTTTCACGACATCACTCTTCCATAAAGTGTTGTAATTGCACAGTTCACAATAATACTTGGGAGCATCCGGTTGATGAAGTCTCAAATGGCACTGCAGATAGGAACGAGTAGTAAATGTCTTCATGCAGACCATACAGGTGGCTCCTGCATCTGTAATGAAACAACATACTATTCATGGAAAAATAAAATTAGCATAAAACAGAAAAAAAAATTAAATTTCGTTAAGAGCCCCACAATTCTATATAAAAAAGTATCTCAAATATACCTATATAATAAACCCGTAAACCTTATATTCGCGAGAGGAAAGGCACGAACCTTGTGCACAGTCCTCAAGTGTTTCACCACATCCCCTTTCCATAGTGATCTATAATTGCAATGGTCGCAATAAAATCTGGGTGCATCGGGTTGATGAATCCTGGCGTGAAGCTTCAGGTTGGAACGGGTGGAAAATAATTTGTGGCAGAAAGGACACGTCCTGGCTTTCAGTTCGTCCGACACTGTTTAGAAAAATAAGAAGAAAAAGAAAGAGGAATATATTAATAAATAGAAATAACCAGAAACATCAGTTAATTACGCTAGTGCCTAAGTTTTACCTACCTTATGATACCACTTGGAACAGCTCAATTAAATGGATTAAATTCGCGAACGTATTAAATGTTCTTAATTAATTAATTAATTAATTATTATGAAAACTTTTTGATTTTTTTAAAACTTTTTTAAAATTTTAAAAATCTAACCAACCGAATTTACATATTGATATAAACATACTTTCTAGCAATCAATTGGAGAGTTAAGTAAATATATACAGATAAATTACGAAGTAACATAAGCAATTAAACATCAACAACAATTGAATAAAGCTTGGCACACATTATGGGAAGTACACGTCACTTCCGGGAAGGATTCAGTTGAAGGCCTGCTTCAGTCGTTCCATGAACCGATCGAATGTGTTTCGTCACATTTTCCTTCCACAGAGACGAATAGCCGCACTTGTGACAATAATACCTTGTTGCATTGGGTTGATGAAGCCGGAAGTGACTTCGAAGGTTGGATCGAGAGGTGTACGACTTGAGACAGAGGTTGCAGGTGTAAGCCCTAGTACCTGAGGACAGAGAAGACGATTTCACTATTTCGCTGCAGCTTGATTTTAATTAGAATTTTGCGAGGATATGTGCTTAAAGGACCTTCTGAAAAATTAAAATCTATATTGGAAACACGATTAAACTGATTACGCATCAAAATAAAACGTGTCACCAATCTTTTCACATATCCTTTTTAAAAATTTTAATTGTTTTGCCTAGAAATATCTAAAATATACTTCTCGGGACACAATTTATTTTGATTGAAGTGGAAATTATAAATTATTATAAAATTATTACAAAAATTATTTTGCTTTGTTTATGGATTGGTGTAAGCACACTTTCCCAAACCCACCTCTACCCAGAAAGTGCACTTTTTTCTGCTGTTTCTGTGATATATTTTAGTGCTTTATAACTTACAAATAAAATTGAAACACGATTTATTCAAATTATATACGAAATTAGCAAATTTAAGACAATTTTTATACAAAAAAGTCGGCGAGGTGTCTGCCTTTTACATGATTCTGTGCACGTTCTTGACGTGTCTTCGTACATCCGACTTCCATATCGAAGCATAACCACAGAGCTGACAGTTGAAACGAGGAGCGTCTGGTTTGTGGATCCGGGTGTGTTGAATCAAATTGGATCTCGTAGTAAAGGTTTTTTGACAAACGGTGCACGTTCGCAAATCCAAACTCCTGCAATCTTGGAGAAAAGTCACCATTAGAGGTACGACCCTAATTGCTCTATTAATTTTAAAAAACTTGTAATATTATTAAAAATTTAATTTAATTAAAAAATAAATAAACTAAATTAACAATTTTTTAATTAAATTAAATTAAAAAAGGAACTAAATCAAATTTTTTAAAATACAAAAAAACTTCGATTAAATCGAACGCATAAATATCTTTATTCTTATTATTTTTTTCTTTTTTTCCTTAATACAATTGATAATCAACATAATTTTGAGCAAGATCTCCGGATACGACCCTTCACCTTTTCTACAGTTTTGTATAGATTAGAAGAACGGGATACTAAAAAAAACCCATATTAGGCTATGGAGGGACGGACGAGCAGCAACCAAAACGTCATTTATCAGTCCTTTTATCTTCTGTTCCTATGTACGTGTCGTCTATGTTGAACGACTGCATCCTTCCTGATCGATTCGTATCCACAAACATCGCATATATATTTGGGTGCATCGGGTTCGTGAATACTCGCGTGACGACGTAAATGAGTGCTTCGTGCGAACGACTTATGACATATGAAACATATCCATCTTCTCATTCTCCATTCTGTAATTAAAAAACAAAGATATTGATACAAAAACACACGAATATCTGCTCACATATTATCTAAAAAAGAACAAAATCTATATACATATACATACGTGGCTATATATATTTTATGTTAGTGTAGGTTGGTGAAAAGAATACAAGAGAATGCATTAAGTAAAATTCTTTAAATTTTATTTTATTATCTCGAATACATACTCCTGGTCGTATTCCATACATAAAACAAGAAACGAGAATCAAATGACTTCTCCGTGCAATTCGAATTTGTGTTTAACGTAACAATTCTTCCAAATTGTTTGAAAGTCACAAATATTACAAACGAACTTCGGTGGATTTTTTTGATGGATGATAAAATGACGACGTAAACTTGTGTTCCTGGTAAATGTCCTCAAACATATGTGACACGTTCTGGGTTTCATAGGTCGACCACGGAATTTAGGACCTTTATTAAAGAGAGATTTTCGTTTATTAATCTGTTACAAACACAACTATCTTCAGTTTTCTTACTTAAAAGAGTCTTTTCTTTAAATAAAAATGAACAATTTCCTATACTTATTTACAGTAAAATAAGTATTTTTAAGTTATAATCTTATAAAATATATTACTAACGTAATTTTTTAACTTAAGATTCCAATAATTATAGACTAGAGATGGGGATTTAATAACAAGTTTAATTTTTTGATAGATTGTCAATAGATTGACGACGAATTTTATAATACATTTGTTTTTGTTGTAGTAGTGAAGAATTTTCAAAAAGAATATTTTATTTTTTATCCTTTACTTCATTTGATGCACTTGTCTTCTATGTAAAATTACATTATCTCTCCATATTGTTTTATAGTCGCAAACGTCACAGTGATAGAGAGGAGCGTCTGGTCTGTGTAGTGTTTGATGACGTTTTAAACTATACAGACTACAAAAACTCTTTGAGCAGATGGAGCAAGGATAATTCTTTTTCTCGGAATCGTCATCTAAATAAATACATTTAAAATATTAACTTTGCATATTTACAATTTTCCAGATTAATTTTCTGATAAATAATTGTTTCTTTTAAAGCCTTACCTTTACTGTTTGAAGAATTACATTTAGTAGCGTGTTGTCTGTGATGTCGTTTTAGAAGAGATATTTTAGTAAAAGATCTTTGGCAAACATAACAAACCCACGGTCCCTGTTCAGATTCTGTAAAGAAACAACCGCGATAGTTTGATTATTCGAAATTTCTACGTATTATTTTTTAATTTTACTTACAATTTAAAGTTTAAAACGTTAAATTAACGATGCAGAAAGCTTAGATGTCGAGTCATACCTAAGAGAAAATAATGGCGACAACTGTAAAGCCATCACAAATGCACACATTTAAATTAATTTCGTGTTAAATTCCATTCTAACAATTCTGATTTTTCGTCGTTTCTCGAATATTTTGAGTTGTATTTCGTAAAAGAAACATCATAACCATAATTTTAAATAATGTTTTATTATATTCCAATGTTGTAATCCGTGATGTTTATTTTGTGCATAAATAGTAAGTGCCATCCATCAGACCATGAACGTTTCGTCGATGTCTATCGAGATTTTCCTTCCACACGCTGACATACGAACAGACTTCGCAGGAGTATCGAATAGCATTTGGCTCGTGTATTCGAGAATGTCGTCGTAATTGTCGTATGGTGAGGAATCCTTTGGAACATACGGGACATACAATATCACCTGTTGGAAAAAATATCGGCTGGTAAAAATATGGTCCATTCCAGACGAGTCGATGCTGTTCTAAATCAATTAAAAGTATTAGACATAAATACAAGTGATCCACAATAAAATGGATTTCTTTCTGCATAATTGCTCTTTAAATCCACGAGATGACAAGACAAAAAATATATTTTTATTAGAATTTGAATTACATCAAATTTTTTTGAAAAATAATCACAATCGACCGATCGACATCAATAATCAGACAAAACTCGTTTCTTTTCTATATAAATGTACAAAGAATCGTTATGATAAAATAGAAAATAGCGACAAATTAGCCTGTACAAGCACAGAGACGTATATATAATAAGTTACTCGTTTGTTATAATTAATAAAAATTCGTCTAATTACGATAGTATGCGATTATTTAATGTTATAGTTTCTAAAATACAATACAGGTTAAATTTGATATATAAAAAGTTAAGGTGTTAAATAGGCATCTTTATAGTGTGCAATTTTAATTGCTCCTTCGAAAATTAACGTTTTGTTGGCTAAAAAGAAAGAATTAATTAAGCAATCAAAAAGCTAGAAAAGACATTTAATCCTCAATGCTCTTAGACTCAATTTTGTCCGCGAAACAATAAGATTAAACGACTCTTTAGTGCTACTGTCAGTATTTAAAATAAATTAGAAAAAGAACAGACAAGATGGTCCTTAAATGGATAAAAAATGCTAAGGAGATTAATCATTTTCTTTTGTCAGATGGACGTAGCTGAAAATTGGTGTATATAATTAATGCGGAAGGAACGTAAGTTTGTAAGATGTGAAAGATCATCAACAACTGGATAGAAATTGAAACAATTTTTATTGCTAAAGTCTACATCTGTCTTCGATGTACAGAACGGTGCACATTGAGTGGAATCTTAAGTTATTGCCGGATTTAAATTAAAAAAGAAGAACCAACGATTGATGGAAGATTTACGTTTGCAATCCGTGGACGTTTCGTCGATGTTTATGCAGATTTTCCTTCCAAACGCTGTAATAAGCGCAGACTTCGCAGGTATATCGAATGGCATTGGGCTGATGTATTCGTGAATGGCGACGCAATTGACGAATCGTGAAGAATCGCTTGAAACATACCGAACATATTATATCACCTGTCGGAAGAAATAGCGCAAATAAAAATGCAGATATAACTTCTGCCATAATTTAATAAATTACAAGTTTTTAAACTTATTATTAACAATTTTTTTTCTTTCGTTCGTTTCTTCCCGACGGAGTTTAAACGGTTCTGAACCATTCGCTAACGTGTCCACGTCCTGAGAAAGTTACTAACAAATAAATTAATAAGGGGGTTAATCTCGTGACGCAACATATACATTGATCCCTATTGGTCGGTCGTGTTCACGTGTTCTGCCGGATTTTGATAGTGTACGATTCGGACGTGTTTCAGCCAATTGTCCTTCCACAGAGACGAATAACCGCATACTGGACACACGTAACGAGGAGCATCCGGTTGGTGTAGCTTGAAATGACGTCTTAGATCCGACCTCCTGGTAAACACACGTCGACAGATCGGACAGGTTCTCGAAAGCAGTCGAGGGTCTTCTGCAAAGAAAGAACCGCAGTTACTCTTTATATATAACTATTGCTCCTTTCATATAAAGTGTAGAGTCTACAACATTCTTCCGCCATTTAAAACCGCAAAAGATAAGAGCCAAAAAATAAGAGAGGCATTAAAATTCCCAACAATATTATATTTAATATTTTGATCTTACATCATTCTCAATTATATATAATATATATATAATGATGGAGCAAGGATAATTCTTTTTCTCGGAATCGTCATCTAAATAAATACATTTAAAATATTAACTTTGCATATTTACAATTTTCCAGATTAATTTTCTGATANCTAATACAATATTTTTTAATATTTTTTTAATTTAAAATTTATATATATATATATATATATTGATCTAAATTATCACATGTCTTTTTAAAAAAATTGATCACCAAATGTGTTCCCAAACACCCTCAGTCCTTAGGATTTCATATTAAAGATTCGTCAGACACCAGATAAGTTGTCCAATCGTTGGAACCGATTTCGAAAGCGTGGAACAAACGAATGTGCTTGATAATGTTGTCCTTCCAGATTGATTTTCTGCCACAAAGTACGCACCGATGCAAAGGAGAATCCGGACGATGCACGAGAAGGTGACGTTTCAACAAACTGTGGTTTCCAAAGGTTTTTTGACAAATACCGCAAGTCCTGGGTTTACGAATCTTGTTACCTGTAACCAAAATACTTTCTTTATTCTTTATTAAGTTTCTCGTGAGAATTCCTTAAAGAAAAAAACCTTAAATTAAATCATGGATTATCGGAAGGTATCCGAAATAAAAGATCAGTTTATAAAATATATACAATACTATAACATGTTCTAGAATTCTCAACAGTTCAAATGTTATTTTCGATAAAATTTTGCTAGAATTAACGATTTTTTTTATGTTAGTGTAATATTGAATGGAGTAGAACTGTGAGACGGTGATCCTTTATTACTGCAATGTCTTGGAATCCTGAAAAACTGTTAAAATAATCCGATATAGATATATTTTTTTCGTAACATATAACGTTACGAGATAGGAGGTAGTTTTTTTTTTTACCGATGAGAAATCAAAAGGACCTACCCTCGTTAGCGGCAAGATAATAATTAAACCTGTTTGTGGACGAGTCGTCGATGTCGGATCACAGCATCTTTCCAAACAGACGCGTATCCACAGATATCACAAGAATACTTGGGTGCATCTGGTTTGTGACTCAAACTGTGACGTTTGAGGGTTGTCGAGGTGCAGAATGACTTCTGGCAGAGAGTACAAAAGTGGACCTTGGTAACTTGGAAGGAAGATAAACAGTGTTAAATACGGATTTATAAATATTTTACTTTAAATAATTTTTTTATAATTTTAATGAACAATTTACATATAAGCAGCTGGAGAAATCAGAAATTGTTAGTAAACGTTTCTGGAAGAATCCCTATAAAATGTGCCAAGCTTTCATAAAATGCAATATTAATTTCTGATTAAAATTAATGTTAAAAATATAAATAATAACACCGAAGATTAAAGTTAATTAAATTAAATTTAAATAAATGGAAAAAAGACCAACTAACTTAGGTCAAAATCAACCTTTGGAATATTTTCCTTAAATATCGAACTTAAAAATTACGATTAACCAGTGCAAATAATCAATGAAAAGATCTAAAAATAGATTCACAGGCCTAAATATGGAGCATAAGGTAGTAACAATGAATTTACTCTTTCTTTCCAACCCTCCACCCAACAGAGAGAGTAAATTTTAAGGATTTACAAACGACTGTTGACAATAAATAACATTTATTATCTTAATAATTAAATTTGACAAACAGAACACGATACGAACAAACTACATAACATTACACGAGGTGGTAGGAAGGAGGAACGTCCAGTTTTTTGTAATGCATTCATCGAGCCGCGTGTACCCAGGGCCTTTTCTTGTGTTGAATCAGATTGTCCTTTCGGTTCGATTGGTATCCACAAATGTCACACACGTACTTGGGTGCATTTGGTTGGTGCAATAGCAGATGACGACACAGATTAGTCGAAGTGGAGAAGGTTTTATTACAGAAGGGACACGTCTTGGAATCGAGGAACCCTTCGAAGATAAAAATAGTTTTGATTTTGTTAAGTTTGATACAATATAAAATGGTATAATTATTCATTTAAATATCTATAAAATCACTAACCGTATTGAAATAATCGGTAGAGATTTAATGAGTTCTTTCAATCAAACCCCAGAAAATATTAATAAAACTGCAATTATTGTTAAAAATAGATTAAAAATTAAAGCTTACTCTTTAACTTGAAGCTTAATAAACCGAGTTTCCGCTTAAAATTAAGCATCTCTCTCTCTCTCTCTCTCTCTCGAATACAGTAAAATAAGGTACAAAAGTGTACACGAATTAAAATTAAACGCATAATTATGAAAATATTATCAATCGAGGAACGTAATTGACGCATTTATGTAACTGTAACACGAAATTTATAATGCCAAATTCGAGGAAAGCGCTAATTTAATCCAACGGTCAAAACCGACAAAAAACTTTTTATTAATAGGAAAATTTATTTAATAAAACGATCAATTTTTAGTAAAATAATATATTCGATACGGAAAAAAACTTTCTCAATTCAACTTTTATTTAATAAAATAACTTTAAAAATTCGGAAAGCAACAATCGATCACAAGTCGGTAGTTGAACAAGGAGCCGAGCGAAGTGACAGTTACGTCACGTGATGAACTTGTCGCTTGTGACGTAAGACGGCGTCCTTCCTGTCCGAGATGTAGTAACAGAAAGGACAACTATAACGAGGAGCGTTCTGTAGATGGGTCCTGGAATGTCTCCAAAGGGATGCTCCGCTGGAAAATCTCTTCGGACAAAGAGGACAAAGTTTCGTTTGTTTTTCTGCGGAAACAAATGACACAAAGTTCAACCTTTTATAAAAATTTACATATAGAACGGTCAGTAATTAAACTTTGTTTACATTAATTCACTCAAATGGAAGTTTCCGATTAGTCTTTAAAATTGCTCTAAACCTAAAACTGAATATTGTGGCCGCCGGATGATATTTTAGATAATAATTTTAACGTATATTAATACTTATAAAAAACGTAAAACAATTAGTTTAAAATCGAAGGATTCGATGTGAAACAGTTCGCTGAGAAGTTATTTAAATCTAAGTTTAATTTTCTGCTTAAAATGAAATAAATTTAAGAAAATTAGAGCGAAACATACACAAAAATGTTATACGTCATCACTTAATTTCAAAGAATAAAAATCAATGTACATTTTCCCAAACCCACCACGACCCAAACTGTACATTGATTTCGAACTGTCTATATTGCAATTAAAATAATTTAATTAGAAAAATGATTTTTATTCATTGTAAGCGTACAAACGTGAGCAATATCTACAAACGGCGTAACTTATGTCGTACGCGTTGATGACGATTAACAGAATCCTTTCGTTCCGAACTGTAACTACAATAGTTGCACTTGTATTTAGGTGCATCGGGTCGATGAATGCGTGTGTGTCGCCAAAAATTGGTAGACGAAGAAAATGTCTTGGAACAAAGATGACAAGTCCAAGTCTTGATCCTGAAATCTTTAAAAGAAAAGTTAAAATCAGATCAACAAAACAAAAAGAATTTCCAACAGCAAATGCACGAGTTTCCTCGTTCGACGACCAAACAAAAATCGCATTTAAATAAAAACTATAAACAACTATTGGATTTTTATATTCAATTTATTTAAATCTTACATATCTTTTTCTCTTATTAAATAAAAATTTTTGGAAGTATGAAAAATTTTAAATGTTTAATAGCAGACATTTACTTAAAATCGACACTAAAAATAAATTAAATCACAAATAAAACGGGATAATTTACAGGATTTTATAAAAAAAATTCTCTTGGAGTGGATTTAAACGGGATCCAAGCAACCGTGTTTGGTTCTTTTGTGCTTGACGACATTGCCTTTCCACAACGACTGATAACCGCATAAAGTACAGGAAAACTTTGGATAATTCGGTTGGTGAAGCCTGAGATGTCGTCGTAAACTTGCGATATCGTAGAAAGTACGTAAACATTTGGGACATACGGGTCCATTCGAACATCTGGAATCTTGGAAAGAGAACGAAATTATTAAATTTCAAATAAAATAAAAGTTTGTGTAATTATTCCCCAACCCAAGTTTTCAAAAATATCACGATAAAAATCACTTTTTCGAACGTATTTTTTTTTAACAGTTAAACTTCACTAGATCGTCTCTTCTGAACGCATAAATAAATTGCACGTGGTTATTTTCCCGCCTTCCTGGTGTGGCCAAGATAAAATTTTCGAACTTGAGAGCCTACAAACTTAAAAGAAAACACATGAATTGCATCACACACGCTACGTTAAATCATAACTCGAACAATATATTTTACGAGTTGTTTCTACGAGTCACAATTCCGTGAACGATTCGCCTATGTTTTCGAACGTTATGTTTCCAGATGGAGTCGTACCTGCAGAGATCACAGCGATAACGTGGAGCGTTCGGTTGATGAAGTTTGGAGTGCCTTAAGTATGTGCTTCTGTTACAGAACACCTTGCAGCAGTCGGGACATGTACGAGATAGTTCGATGGCTGGGAAGATATAAAAACGCATTCAGTCGCATGCAAATCCCTTCGCGCTATTTCCTATCTAACTTAAAGTTAAACTCGTGTATTTACAAACCATTTATATAACGCGAAGTTACAATATAATTTACAACCTTTCCTCTAGAAAAATGCAAACGGATCCACTAAACTAAACAAGAACCAAAATGGATGCCTCTGAGAAGAATCCATAGAAATTTCTCAATAATCTTTCACCACCTTTTCGTATCCAAAATCAATTTTTCAACAATAAAATGAATAATATTTATTACTTATAAGTAAATTTATCACCAAAATAAATTAATATTGCACAGTATTGATGGATTGCAGTCTTTACGTCTCTTTCTCACACACAATATAAATATTTAAATGTAAATAAATTGATCAGAATTTTGATAAAAGAGCTTATGTGGTCTATAAACGAGATTGTAAAATAATTTTCTACATAAATTGTATCTTCTTTGTTCTTGATATATTCAACGCGTAGAGGAATAGTACAACGAATGCACCATTCGTTGATGTTTGGTTAAGTTTTGCTTCCATAACGACGTATAATTGCATAAATGGCAATAATACTTTGGAGCATTGGGTTGATGTATTCGCACGTGCCTCCTGCATGTTCCCGCGTCGTAAAATACCTTCAGACAGATGGGACACGTTCGATTCTCTACTTTTATACCTGAAATAAACAGAAACTTTAAGTATAAAATAATAAATATTTTTATATATATTAGCACTATTTAATAAGTTATCGTAACGTACAACTACATTACAGTGAAACACTTAAAAATTATATTCTTTCGGTTGTTAGCTATATCATCAGCATTGCAAATTACTATAAAGGTAACAATTTGTAAAAAAAAAAGATGACCTTATATCGTTAAATATTAGCTCTTTAATTATAATATCAAGAGCAAGAATATCTCAAAATAATTGCTTTTATTTGTCAAACAAAAAACTGTTATCGATTAATTTATATTTTTATTAAGTTTTAAAATTAAAAATAAATTATAGTACAAAGAAGTTAATTAAAATTTTGAGAGTATTTAGCACATATTTTTGATGAAAACGGTTTAAATTTTAAAATTTATAAGTAACATGACTTAATCAATACATTTCCTAGATACAGTGAGAAGTAAGCTACGTAAGGAATAAGTATTGTTTAGTACATTCTCTGACAGAAAATTCTCATCAATTAGGGAAATTTTCGAATTTGCCAATTATGAAGATAATACTTTATATAAAATAAAATTTAGGCCTTAATTGTAGAAATAAATTAATGACTTATTTGTTGATATAGGCTAATTAAAATAGGACAAAAAATAATAAACAGTTGAACGGTTGTATAAATAATTTCAACTCGTTATGGTGAAAATCAATTTAGTATTAAAAATACTAATAAGAATAATAGAATTTTTTTAAAACTTAGTCAGATAATACATTTTCCTCTAATAAACTATTTTTTATAATTTCTTTCAAACTATTTATGATAATTATGAAAAACTTTTATCAATATTACGGATAAAAAGTAATGAAATGTTGCTTCATAAGTTACAACCAATTAATTCTATCACATCTTATAGTCTTGAGATTAATGTAGTATAAACACCTTAATCTTAATCTTACTGTCGATACTAAATAGCTCTTAATATTATAATACGTTATAATATTTATAACTATATAATTAATAAACTTAAAGTTTTATATTATATAATATTGTACGCTCGAATACAAAAACTTAACAAATATTTATAAGTAAGTCGAATAGCAAAAATATTGTCATATAAAGCTACAGCAATTTTCACGTCTATAATAATTTTAAAACTAATTCTATATCATTAATATATTTAACTTGTTTATTACTAATTATAGATCTAACGTATAATAAATAATGATTACGTAATTAAAGTATCGAGTAAGAGACTTCATTCAATCCTAGACAAATATTTGAACTTACACCTCTTTCCTAAGGAGGTTCTTTCCATTCTTGTTGTATCTCATCCCTGTATAATGTAGTTTAATGTAGTCGATTTTGATCGACAGTGAATCAACTGGATCTAATTATATACAGTTCGATTCTTCGTCAATGCTTCGCTGCTACAGAAATATCCCAAAGATAATAAATGAAGGGAGAAGTTTAACTCTACGTAAATCTTCTTTAAACCAGACTTTTATTAGCTTATACTTTTCTTACCGAGTGCAGTCGCATCAGGCCAATAACTTAAACATTCTTACATTTATTAAAAGAATAAAATTTAAAAAAAATAAAGATAAAATGTACATCTACCAATTATAATACACTCTAAACATAAACAAATTCATTACTTTAAAATAAAAATGAAAATAAATCAGAAATTAAAGTAATAATTTCAATATCGGAATATGTGATATTTTCTTAAATTACAATTCGTAAAAATAAAGTAAATTAAGCTTAAAATAATTATATTTAAACATAATCGATAGATTTCAACGGAATTTTAATGCAATTTCTTCATTTAAATAAAGTTTATAAGCAATAATTCCGTTTTCTTAAAGATAAAAATCTGAAAGAAAATAGAAACTTATACAAATTATAATTTTCTTTTTGTAAGAATTAAAACAAGAAACAATTAAAATTTCATTTTATTTATTTATTTACATAAATCAACACTTTTTTTTCCCCGAATATTCGACTATATAATTTCGACCCCTTTTCACAAAAATCACACACAACGAAACAACAATAAATATTTTGCTTCAATAAAAGGAATCGATTTTATATTTATATTTATCTATATATATATCATTTCTTTTTAACTTTAACATTTATAACCTTTAAAATATTTATTATCGAACTTGAGATAAATGCAGAAAATACAATTCTTCCCAGTTGGGTATTACAAAAAATGTATTTGAGCAAGGATCACATCATCATATGCTTTATCTTCATGTGCTTGACTAAATTACTCCTCCAAAGAGATTGATAACCGCAGCTGGGGCAAATGTGCATCCTGGGATTTTCCTCGTGAATTCTCGTATGACGTCGAAGATTGGCGGCATCGAAGAAAGTCCTGAGGCATATGGCACAGGTATGTGAACTCCGGGGCCTAGAATCTTAGAAGAAAAGACCGTCACTATAAGTAAATCTTGTTGATGAATGAGTAGTTAATTAGCTATTTTCTATTCTGTAATTTTATATATTCTATGTTTTTATTCTATCCTATCTTACGATGAGCTCGAATGTCCATCGGTTTTGTGTATTAATAGTCTATGTTTTCGAACATTATGTTTCCAGATCGACTCGTAGTAACACAGGTCGCAATAATAACGAGGAGCATTGGGTTGATGAAGCTTGGAGTGCTTTCTGTATGTGCTTCTATCGTAGAATTCCTTGAAGCAGATGGGACATGTGCTGTTTGAGTATCTAGACGCTGGGAATATATAAAAACCAATTGAATCGAAGCCGTTGATTTCCTTTCCAAATTATTATAATACGTACAGTTGTATGCTTTACAGCCAATTATGGCGTAGACATAATTCAAAATAAATGCCCCCTACACTAATCAATTATTGTTATATATACAATTTTCCATGGTTAATTTTATTAACAATATTTAAAAATTTCCTTTTAAAATACTTACACTGATTACAGATATCTTATTATAATATTCTCAACAGTTATACTAATTATT